TTTCTATCTCTTGCCAAGCTATCCTTTTCAAATATCTGTACTACTTTCCTTTCTCTTACCTACTTACTTGCCTTTCTAACTAGCCTAAATCCTGTAAACTGCTAAACTAAATACTACTTACTCTTCACCCATATACCTGTCTGAAACAGTGGTTTGACCAATCCAGTCCTCCTTACCATAGCCACCACTGTGAAAGATGTCTAACTTAACTCTTTTCTTCTTGTTATCTCATCTATTATACATAGAAGCGTAATTGGTATAGCATGTAACTAAATACATAAGGTTACATGTTCAACCCCAGGCCCTACTGTAGTTACCTTAATGATACCATATTGTCATATAGAATGATAAGGCATCTATGCAGCCTGCTCTGTAGAGATACGAGGCATGCAACTGAGAGGTTTTCGCTGGATAGTATGGAAAGAGCTCCACTCTATGAGATAAAACTCAGTTGGTTCAGATTGATCAGTTAGATATAGAGCTACGACCTCTGCAAGTCTATGTGTAGCTACTCTCATAAAAATAAAAAGTAATGTAGAAGCTGCTTACTCTTATATGGACCAGAGTTATCCAGAGACTGGAGCATGATTGGTTAATAACAACTCACTCGTCGAGTTAGTTATCTTCATTATGTACTCTAAGCTATGTACATAAAAGAGTCATTGATAAGTCCTTTGAATGGAGCTAATTACTCCACTTAGGAAGAGAGTAGGAAAGTTAGTTTTTAGGGTCAAATAGAGTTTGTACTCTGAGGACACTGAATCATTAGTATGGCAGGTACATAGTCATTAAGGGTTTAAATGTAGCCTGTGACCACTCAGACATGGAATATAGATATCAAGGTATGGTGCCGCTCGTCTATAACGTGTACCATGGGTGGGTGCACCTTGTAATGCTTAATATGATTAGGGTTAAGGGTATCATAATTCCAAATGCAGATTTTGGAGTGCAGCAGTTCAAGTCCCATATAGGATATTGTTTTTCTCGAATTTGTATTTATAACCTATCATCTTTGATTTTATGAGTTCAATGTTCCATCCTTTTGCCGATTCTAACTTGTAATTCTCAACCACATAATACCACTCCATATACTGGCAGAGGCCATGGACTCCAATCAGGCAACTGAATCAACCTTATATACTGGTAATAATTCTGTATTACTAGTTTGAACCAATCGGAATACCCTCAAATCTCATATCCGAAGAGAGCAAATTAGACAACAAAAGCTTTTAGTATAGTCCAGAAACTAGCTCCAAATAGCAGTCAAGAGGGATGCTAATACATTGAACAAAACAGAAAATACTAAAAAAAAATTAGAACTGATAGGACTTGAACCGCTGCACTCCAAAATCTGCATTTGGAACTGTATTACCCTTAACCCTAGTCATATAAAGCATTACAAGGTGCACCCACCCATGGTACACGTTATAGACGAGCGGCACCATACCTTTCTATATTTAAGCTATTATTAGCAATTGGAGAAGAGATCTTATCAATATATTCATTCTACTTTACTTCTATCTTTACGAGTCTTTATAACTATCTCTGAGATAGAAGATTATTGGGTCTAGTATATACTCACTTGACTTTAGAGTTACCTACCCCCTAATATCATCCTCCCCAACCAACTAATATAAACTCTCACAAATTATATTTTCTATCTATTCCAATTCTCTCAATACTATCTTGATCCCCTCTTTCCAGGAAACTCTACCTACATTTACCACTACCACTGGCCTATTACCCCTCAATCCTTTAAGGTCAATAGGCCTTTCCACCTTTCTCCTCTTACCATTCTTTATGGTTATTTTCCCTAACATCTTTCTTATGCCTAAGATGAATGTCCCAGACCTCAATTCTATGGGTATTAAGATCCTCTTCAGAGTAAACAGTTCTACCCCTTTTACTCAACCCCTAATCTGAGCCTCCTTTCTGGAAAGCAGCTTCTCCAACTCCTGTATTCTTCTTTACAACTTCTTTATTCTTCTTCTATACTTATGGTTTCTACAAACTTACCTGTTTACATATTGATAGTTAGACATCTGTACTTCGAAATGAAGTAAAACATAACTTTAATTACTGTAAGATAATTGGTCGAAAACTGAAAATGTAGGTTGTTTAATATATAATAATTTCAAAAACTAGTTGTAATAGGAATAGAGTATGATATTCAGATACTTGCATGTAACTGGTATAATATACTCTACCATATTAGTAAAAATTATTCCTGTGTTAGAAACATGGATGGCATGTCCTGATACAGGCAGGAAGGATTCTGTATCATATATGTCATATATATCAAGTACTTGGGCATCAAGTCTGGTTGTATCCTATCTATCCTGTACCTAGGTACCAAGTCTAGTTGTCTCCAGTACTTGGGTGCCAAATCTGGTTGTATCTGGTACATTTTAAGTAAATAATGCAGAGTCATTATTATCATTTGATTCTGAATGATTATATTCTCCACTGCCAGCCGCTCCCATTTACTTCTCTCTTGTCAACTCCTACCCTACCAGCTCCCTCCTACCAGCTCCCTCCTACTATATCCCTCCTACTACTTTCTTCTTTATCTTTCTTGCATTCTGGACTTTTTTGTTTTTATTAACTTTACTAGTTAGTAAGATTTCAGTTAAGTACTAACTTTGATACCAGATTCCTTGAGTGTCTCTAGGATGTGGAAGCTGACACTTGGTACCCTGATTCTACTTGATACCGGCATTCTAATGGTATATTGGATGTCTACTTGGCACTAATGTTAGTAGCATTACAGCCTGTTATGTGAGTGTTGTTTACCCTATTAAGGTTCTGGTGAAGTACTAAGTTGATACCAGATTCTGCAAACATCCCTTAGGTGCAGTAGCCAATACTTGGCATCCTGATTCTACTTGATACCAGCTTTCCAACAATGTATTGAACATTTGCCTAATACCAATATTGGTGGAGTTATCGCTTGTAAGACAAGTAGTTTGGACCAGATTTATAGTATATAGTCAGGAGAGGTGGGGTTTCTTTCTGTACTATGTATTATAGAACCAATATAACTAGAAATATTCTTTATTTAGAAGGTTTCAGAATCTACATAATATGTGATCCAGGTCACAAGGTCCAATTGAAGTATTATATTCTGTAAATGGTAGTAGTACTTGCTTACATTCTGAGAATAACTGCAGTATCAGGTTGTATCCTACTTGCATCCTGAGTTCTGGCACCAAGTACTATTGTGTCCTCAGTTCTGGGGCCAAGAACTGTTGTGTCCTGAGTTTTTGTAGCTGCTGTCTTATATCCTAGTTAACAGTTTATGCCCTGTGTACTAAATGCACAGAATATAAACTTTTATTTTTACTAATACATATTCTTAAACAAATTTAATTCTAATATTCTGTAGATACTGGTAACATAAGACATTGAGAGATTGGACATTACACAGAAGTCAAACATGAATACAACACTGGTAGACAACAGTAAAAATCCCATTACTCTTTAAAGAATAATAATTAATAAAACTCAATCAAACTGAGATGAGAATAATACCAGCTCTATAAGTTGTGAGATTAGCAAGGTGAAAAGAGGAATATTGTAGAAGTTAATATGACTTTAGAGATGGAATAAGGTACCTTATAGTATTAGAGAACTGAAGATACCACAGAGAAGTAAAAAATTACTTTCTTGTATTCAATTGCATTGACAAAGCATGGTCAGGTAGCTGCCAATTGGGATTTGTAGAAGTAGAAAGTATGGGAGAAAGAATAGGACACCAAATGCAGCTAGTTTGTGGAGTAACAAACTCACTAGTATTATCAGATGAGAATTCTTCTTCAACCTCGTATTCAATAAGCTACTTGCTACTCTCTCCCTCTACTCCCTTAATATTAAAATGAATCTGCTTCTTCCCTCTTTTCTTCTTTACCTTAGCTTCTGAATTTTTCTTTTCTGCAGCCTTTTTTGCCCATACTTGCTTGCACTGAACAGCAATAGTATCCCGCTCCTCCTGCTCCTTTTTTAGCTGGAGAATATTAGCTTTGATTATAATCTGTACCTCTGACAGTACCTGATCATTAGTTCTTGTAGTCTTTTTTCCTTCAAACTCATTCTATAATTTTTGAGCCTTAAAAGCCTCAATCTTAGCCTGTGAGAAGGATGTTTCAGCTAAATGGATGAGGCATAAGATGAAGGTGATAGTATCCTTTTTTTTAGAAGGTGTTTTGAAGGAAACAAACTTTATAGCAGCAGTTGTTTGATGTGGTAGGTTTCGTCTTGTTTTTGGTGTAGGGAGAATGTGCTTGGAAGTAGAACTTGAAGAAACTGATCGATCATTCAGAAAAGAAAGAGAGTCCAGTAATTTGCTGAAGGGAAGCTGAGTTAGAACAGAGTTGGGATTGAATAAATAAATACCAGTCATACAGAAGGCATCTTTAATATTGAACTTAGTATAAGGTTTCTTCTAAGCATTGAAGTAGAATTTCCATAATGTGCCTTTAAGAAAACTTGAATATAAGTTACGAACATAATTATTTGCTGCCTTTTCATAGAAATGCTGTAGAGACCTAAACAATCTAACATCAAGAGGTTGTAATAAGTGTATAGAATGAGGAGAAAGGGAAAGCAGATGAATATTCTTGTCAACAGCATATTTGCAAAATTCATAGAAAATATGAAATAGATGACCATTGATAATTAAGAGATAAGGCCATCCACCTACCCAATCTCTTGTAAAAATATCAAAGTGGCCAATAAGCTACTGGAGACCTAGAGTCATTAGTTCACCTATTAAGACTCAGGCATAATTTAGCTAATAAATCATTTGTCTCATCATACTATCCTGTTCAATAAGACTTTACCTTATAAACAATAAATAGGGAAAGAAGAAAAACATTAGATGAAATACATTCTAAGACAGTGAGTAATTCCTGACTCCTACCTTGCATCACTAATGGATTATGTCTATATAATCAATAAATAACCTACAACTATGCCAAAAAACCCAAAATAAAATCTTTCTCATCCATGTTATAGATGTTCAAATATCAGATTTTATTTATTCATAATATTCAATTGAGTTTGTGAAAGAAATCTTGTATGATAGCAGGATTGCTAGTATGAACCCATTGTTGATCTAGCTGCCCGGTCCACTATACCAGGCAGTAAGAATTGGGTGCCTATCAAGGAAACCAGTAATCCAAGACCTTCCTAGGATTGCAAGTTTATCATCATTCTCCTCCTCCGTCCTCCTTCTTGCTAGTGATTGTACTATTCCTTACAAAATATCTATTCTAGGTGGAAAACCAGCATCATCCATATCTAAATACTATCATTCTAAAGCCTTTCCAGTGCCTGGAGGCAATTTTTGTTGATGCTCATGAGCCTGTCACCAATTCTGTACCTTCCCTATAACTCAATCATACAATATACTCCATGCTATTTCAAACTTAAGAGCCAGGTTCCAAAAGGTTGGGGGTGGGTATCCGAGTCTACTCTCCTGGACAGTGAAAGCCTATTGAATGTGGTCCTCCTTCTCCTTATCAATCCTTGATTTTCAAATACCTTGAACCTTTCACATTGCTGATCATCTTGTCATTTACAGATTCAATTTCTACCTATGCATTCCTGAGATATACCTCTGAATTGACATGCTGTCACCCTCTTGGCACCGAAAAAGCAATGTCCGACTTCCGTGTTTTGTCCGACTTCCGGATGTCTTACGTTACCTGTTGGAGAAAATTTACCAGGATTGGATAATTGGGAAATTTCTAAGTTTTCTATCACCTATTATCTTATGGATTTATTAGCCGTGAATTTGTATCATTAGCTGCTTTGGATTGTGATGTAGTACTGTTGCTAGGGACCATACGAGGACTTTTTAGATATAACTGCACATGTCACGAACAGCAAGCCTACGAAAGCTTAGGCTTTTTCGTGCCCAAAGTCCAAAAGTGAGGAGAAAACAAAACCTCGCTATGACGTCCAGGAGAAACACAAGAAGACAACAACTTTTGGCTATGGGAGACAAGGGAAAAGAAAGGAGAAAGGAGATTCATCCCGAAACCATCCTCATCATCACCCCCACAGACCTAACTACACTTAATCATTGCTAGCCCACCCCTGACTATCAGCCCGCCCAACGCTCATAATCTCCTTCATATCCTCCTCCTCATCGCTATTCAAGCCCAGCCCCGCACCGCCCGCCTCGTTCCTCTCCTTCTCCGCGGTGGCCAACTTCATTGCGACGCGGCGGAAGTAGTCGTGCATGGTGCGTTTCTGCGGCCCCTCCACCGTGCCAATGTACTTTTCGAACACCGTGTCGCCCTGCTGGACCACCTGGAAGATGGCAATAAACGCTTGCTCCGCCGAGAGCTTCACGGGGATGACAATGTCCCGGACTGAAGAAAAGATCACGGGCGCTAGGAGAGGGAGGTGGGGTCTGATTATCTGTGAGGGTTTAAAAAGGGAGATAAGAGTGTAAGATTTTAGCTTTTGCACGTTTGATTTATTTATAAGGTTGTGAATCGGGTGGGTATGCTTTTGTTTTTTTCTTATTTTTCTATGAGTGGGTTGGATTGGGGTGGGTGGAGGGCGCTTACTTCTGGTTGTAGGCGGCTGACAGTTCGGATCACTACTAGCGCTAGACGTTTTGTATCTGTCGATGCGCTTACGGGGTTTCTTATGGCTTGTGTGAGCGACTCTAGGATGCTCTTTGCTGTTTCAAAGGACTTGCTCAGTTCTGAGGATATCAAGAGTTTACCCGCAGCCAAAACGCAGTTGTCTGATATGAAGGGCTGTAAATAGTAGTTTCTTCGTAAGCTTTCCTTCTTTTTCTCTTGGCTATTCCGTTTGTGCTGGGGAAAGGGAGCGAGCTAGTGAGTGGCTGGTGTGTGTGGGTGCAGAGGAGAAAAAGGGAAAATGAGAGAAAGAGGGGAGGGAGGGGAAGGAAGGAAGGGAGACTTACATTCTTGTGTGATATCCCTTGACTGATAATTGACGGTGTCTCCTCAGAGAAGGGGGATTCGGCTAGACTAGTAGGAGACTCTATGAGCACGGCATTGAGGCCAAGAACCGATGCTTTTGTGAAGGCGTTCGAAACCGCGTGGGTTCTGTGGGCGGTTAGGTGGAGGTTAGATCGTATTTTTTCCTTGTTTATGCTTTTTCGTTGTGTAATGGAAGGAGAAGTGGGGGAAAATAGGGGATTACCGTATCACTCTGCTGGAATCATCTGGGGAAAGATGAGGTACTAGCACACCCAATAGGCGGGCCCCGGCAATTGCCATGCGGTCTGATGTTAAGTTAGTAGCGTAGACAGATGTGGGGAGGGGGAAGATGGGAAAGGAGTAGAACCGTCGTCCTGGTCGGGGCCGTCTTCTATCAGCGAGAGTATAGATGCTTTGGATGCTTCACCTGTGTTTCCGCCGGCCTTGCTGACGACTTCGTAGAGGGCTTTCATCATGGCATCTTTCACACCGGTGTCAGGTGTCTTTGCTCCCGTTACCAATTCTGTAATGGACTGGTTAGTAACAACCTTTCTAGTATCTCGGAGTGAGCAAACCAGAAATTAAAGGATCAATTCTAGGTGTCAAAGTGATAAGAGTTCCCAAAGCCTTGGCCGCCCTGGTTCTCAAAAGCTCACTCGATGTGTCTGCCAGGGATTTCGCAAAGGTCCTCTGCAGCTGGGGTAAGAACGGCTTTAGGTATGCCGGGATCTTTTGTAGTAATGAATTCAAGGTTAATAAGATCGCAGCCTTGACATCCGCAGATCTCTCCGAGACGACACGGATCAATGGCCCGGTGATCTGGGTGACGAAGGGACGTAACGATTCGCCGTTAGTCCTGTCGATGATGTCTGATATTGCAAGCGCGGATTGGGTTCGCTGATCTGGGGTTCCGTACATTAGGCCCTGCAAGAAGATGGGGAGTATGGCATTGATCCCCTTTGGTAGAGAGAAACCGGGTAGTTCAGCTCCAGAAACACCGACTTGCTGGAGGACTTGTCTGGTTGAGAATACGAGGGCTTCCATTTCTTCCTTTTTGAGCTTCCTGGTTAACTCGTTGAGGGCGCTCCAGGCGTTCTTCACCACTTGCTTATCGCGGTCGTCGAAGGAGATTAGTAGCACGCGGATACAGTCTTGGGTATATTTAGAGTAGTCCACGTCTGTTTCTGCAAAGAATTTGGCAAAGTGCTCGCAGGCAACTGCTCTCTTTCTGTGGTCGTCGTGCTTGACTAGTTTTAGCATTTCACTCATTGCCGTGTTCAGGCCATCGTACTCGTCCACTGAGAGAAGGACTGAACCGAAGGAGGTGTTGAGATCCACCAGCAGCGCTTCATCTTGGCAGGCTATGATATTGTTCATCAGTGAGTTCATGATATTGGGCAGTCTCCTGTTCAATGAGCTGCCGGCAACTTCCGCAAGTGATGCGAGTGCACAAGCATTGAAATGTGAAATCGGAGGTGCTAGCAATGTAGGAATGAGGACGGGAAGAATGATATTAGAGCGGGTTTGTTCTGTAAGCAGTGTGAGGAGTGCCGCCAAAGCGTGTTCTGCATCGTCTTCCGACCTGAGGAGGCTCAGGAGATGCGGAAGAACTTGGTCGACGATCCTCTTGCCAATGAGTTTCTGAAGAGCGTCGAACGCCTTTGCCGCGGCCTCTCTCACACAGTTGTCTGAATCAACTAGCGCTGTTCGTACAACGGATACTAGAGTGGTTTCATAATCCTCCAACGACTCGGGTGACGTAGAATTGACCACTTCCTTGAGGGCAATACAGATACCTTGCTTGGCATCTGTATCAGTAGCGAAGCGAAGGCCTTCCTCTAGTGTTGGTAGGAGAGTTGATAGCACACCCTCGCCAGCTTTCCGGATAAGTTCTCCAAGTGCCTGTCCAGCAATAGCCTTTTGTTCCGTGCTCGAACTCGCAAGTCGTCGAATGATGAGCTGAGTAAGGGTCGGCACCAACTCCTTGAGTGTTCTAGGACTTGCCACAAGTGCTTTCCAAACCGCCACGGCTGCAAGTCTAACTTGACCAGACGTATCACATCTGCAGATGTAGAGTGCCGAAAGGACTTTGTCACGTTTCTCCTTACCGAGTACCTCAAGAAGGGAGTTTCCGATTTCTCCGGTTGCCTCCAGATCATCTTGCTCGGCTTTACCACTGATGCCAGTAAGATTGAAGAGAAGATCCCCAACTAGCTCAACCGAAGACAGGCGGATTCTGTGGTTATTATCCGCAAGCCCTCGCTCGAGTTCAGGCAACAGCAAGTCGATAGCTCTGGTTGCGAAATTCTTGACCAACAGACGGCCAGCGCGCAGGGAGGTCTCTCTGATTGATTCGATATCATCCGCGAGGCCAGAAAGAATTGGGGGAATAATCTTGCTGAGGTAGGCGCTAAAGGAGTTCCCGAAACAAGCCGGCAGGAAGATGAAAAGTGACATGAATCCCTCGCGGACAGATGGCCTTGAGCTGTTGGCGTTTTGAAGAATCGTTGGAAGGGTTTCCTCCAGGCGCTGGGTGCCAAGTCCGGAGAGAACTTCCGAGAGTGCTTGTGCAGAGCCCAGTCTGTCTCCGGCACCAGTGTCGGACTTGAGAGTAGCCATAAGACCTGGGATGATATCTGGTAGAGCGTCCTCGCCGAGCTTCTCGACAAGCGATCCGAGTGCTTTAGAGGCGGTCGCCCTTGTGGCGGGAACTGGATCAACAATTGCTTGCTTTAGGCCGGATACCAAAATGGGGATATGAACCATGAGGTCCTTCCTCTCTGTAAGATGTGCCAAAGAGCCGATTATCTGAGAGGCCTTCCGTTTTGTGGCGGATCGGTCCCCAAGGCCTCGTTCCAAGATGCGGACAATCTGCACCATAAGCTAGTCACTCGAGAAAAGCGGTTTGGGAGGAACTTACCAATGCGAGCGATGGAGCATCTAGGTAGTGCACGAACGACACTTTCATAAGAACATCTAGGGAGCCATCTGTGTACTTTGTAGGATCACTGAGCGCCTTCAACAAAACATCCACTACGTCCTTAACTTCGGGGTTGCTGATGACTTCACCGAATTTCTTCAAACTTCGGTTCGCCGCTCCTCGAACTTCTTTATGTGAGTCATTCAGGACAGTAGTTAATGGTGGAATAATCTCCGGGAGGCTAATAGCCAATTGGTGGGGCGCTAGATAGGCCATGGCCCCGAGGGTTTCGCAAGCACCCTTCTTACTTCTCCATGCCGGCTCATCAAGACCTTCCAGGAGATCCGGAAGAATGACTTTGACACCATACGAACTCAAACTCGAGAAACAGACCTTAGCAGCATCTGAGCAAGCCTCTCGAACATCAATGACACTGTCGCCAAAGCTCTGGAGCAAAAGTGGCAGTATCTGGATTACGTATGGTTCGAACAGCCTCCCAAGGATCAACGAGAGAAGCTCATAAGCGAAAAGGGCACCCTGCCGTGCATTAGGCTCCTTCTTGTTCTCCGCTGCTCCTCGAAGCGTTGACATGACTCTGTAATCCTTCAGCGCAGATATACCCCGTCCTTTGATCACACCAGCAAGGCCATATGCGGCCCCCCTGCGTGCAGCATAAGCTTTAGCTGTAAATAACTGGTCTAATAATTTCTTGATGTAATCAGGAGCCTTGTCCCTCGAGGTTTTTATTAGCGGAGGCAGACATTCGGCAACTGCATACTGTACCGTCTCGCTCGGTGTGCTTAGTGTGGCCAACAACCGATCGACAACGCCGGGTATCCGCTTGTCACCACTTCCTAAATGTCTCCCAAGAGCACCATAAAGAATGATAACTGCTTCATTGATTCTATCCCGAAGCTCTGATCCATCATCAGGTCCTTCCAGGCTTTGTTCGAAAACTTTCATAAGTTCTTCTACTTGGGCAGCGCCTTGGGCTGCAATGATTGCGGTAGCGGCTTCGATCATTTCTTCCCGGACAGCGTGGCTTCGATCACCGAGCGGCCCCCCTTCAATTAGGAACGCGCAAAATCCCACTAGCCTGGTGGAGTTGAAGATTGGTGCCAGCTCCTTGAAAGCAAATGAAATGCCACTCCTAGACTCCCAGGGATCGCGGTTATCGACTTTCTTAAGCATACCAAATTCATCATAGGCGGGAAGAATAGGTTTGGCCTTCTCGCGGTAGAGATCCTGTAGGGTATCAAGTATATTCGAGAAAACAACAGGAAATTTTCTAACAGCTCCCGCTAAACTTCGTGCTGCCGCCGCTCTTAGTGGTTTATCCACATATTCCAAAAAGGGAATCATTTTTCGGGCAGAATCCTCGTGAACTTCCAGGGCGTTCTCTTCCCATATCGATTTCGCTAGTTCTACGTTCTCGTCAAGCTCATCATGGCAGGCCAGCCAAAGCTCTTCGGCGAAGTCAAAATCTGTAACGTCGATTTCTGCGTCGATAGCCTGTAAAGTGGCCGTCCGAACATTCACTTCTGGTGAAATGACACCACCCACTAGTATTTTGATTTCGTCCAATGATATTGAGTTGGCAATGCATCTGCACAGATCGAGAAGGCAGTCCTTGATTAGTTTGTAGTGTGCAGTGTATCGTTGCATGGAGTTGATCAGAAGTTTCAATATGTTTCCACGAGGAATGTTGGGGTCGACACCTGTCAGATTAGTTTTAATTATCTGGAAAAGGTGAAATAACCACATACATGACTCGGTATGGAATGATAGGAATTCTACTGCGAGCACAATTTGTTCGTCAGCCTCTTCAGAGGGTTCTGCTGCGCCCACACCCCCTCTCTCCAAAATTAGATTCACGAAAGACAGTAGGTAAACGAGCGAGACGGTATCGAAGGGGCGCTGTTCTCCGGTGAAGCGAAGCCGGTATAGTAGGCGTGTTGCCAGAGCTAGGACTAAAGTCAGCAGACGGTGTTTCTCAGAAGCAATTAGTATACGTTGTTACCTCCGAGTGGCTCCTCTCGTACCTCAGGAGATAATTCTCTAACCTCCGACGCTCTGAGACTCGCGATACCAATAAATGGCCTTATAACCCCAAGTCTAGTTGATACATGTTCTGCGCAGGCCTATAATCTATAAGTTTCGTCGTTCATTATGGGGGTGGGTTTAGTTTTGAGTACAGACGAACCAGATACGCTTTGACCCCACTATCACCGATAACCACCCCAGCACCGGCTTCCATCACTTTGAGTAAAGCTGTCACCGCCGTACCCATCCACATCTCTACGGCAGTGGGCAGCCCTTCGGCAAGGCACTGAATGATGCCGATACCTCTGCTCAGCTTTAGACTAACCTCTTCCACATTTTTCCGAATCACTGCCTCTTTTGCCACTTGCTCTTCCACCCTTGCTTTCTCATCGGCGGTGAGCTTACGCTCGGCGCCTTTCTTCCGTGCGAGTTGGGCCCGAAGCTCTGCTTCCCATTTTAGGGTATCTGCGTCTTTTGACTTTTCTTGTCTGACGCTGGCGCTGGATTTAGAGAGAATATCAACGTAGGCTACTCCTGGCGGAGCTTTCCAGATTGCTGCTTCCTGGGGGCCAACTCCTCTTAACAATGCCGGGTTAAGATCATCTGTGAATAGTTGGACAATCAAGGGTGTAATCGCGGCGGGGGCCACGAAGGCCAATGTTGCTGATGACTTCAGGGCAGCTTCCCGAATATAGGAGGACCTCCCACTTAAACCCGTGTATATTCTAATCTCACCGACCAACCTCGCAGCTTCCTCACTTGCTAACTCCCCCGGGTCAACCCCGGTCTTCTGGCAGAGGCGGATCCAATCAACGCCTGGCATAAGCTCATGGTGGGTAACGACCGCAAGATTGACAAGTTGATTCTTGACCATCTCCTCCTCGAGCACGGTCCCAGTTTCAGGCCCTCCATTTGCCGGGTTGGCAGAGAGACAGATTGCATGGATAGCAAGGCCTATGTAGGTTCCTCCGGTCCTAGCAGCAGAAGGGGCGTTATCTTTTTCGTGGTTCTCGATCTTCCTCAGCCATTGCCATACCCCGTTCAACACAACTTTGCCGATAGCCTCCGGGTGGTGGAGGTAAGCGGACGAAAGAGCAGACACGGCTTGATCTCGGATCTCAAGTGGAGAATTGTGGGCACAAAGAAGGTACAGTAAGGCTAGAGCCCATGTGTCTGCGTGATTGGCTTCGTATTGTACATGATCTGCTGTAGCTGCTAGAGCTCTTATCGCCCACTTCTGGTCATCGACTTGTGTAAGCTTAGAGTAGACCTTGTGGTTTAATAGAAATGATGGCTTTGGTGTTGTGGCGAGACATTGTTTGACTATGTCTACCTTTTTGATAACCAAGGCTATCTTCTCGCTACCCCACTTCGCTATCTTGTCCAACGCAAGCGCCGTGAAAACATAGCCAGCTGTAACAGGGCCGGTCTGGGCTGCAGGGGGTGGGTTTGTTACCACCTCTGTCCAGGAATCCACTATTTTTTGGATAATGTTTTCGCAAAATTTTATAGTGACGGCATTTGGTGTCCCTCCCATATCCCAGATCAGGTCTCCTATTCGCAATATCCATGCCCGCCTAAAGTTTTGTCGCTTATCGGTCAATCCTTTGTTGATAATGTCAACCACACCCTTCACTGGCTCGATCTCTTTCTTGAGCTCCCTGGCTAAGGAATTAAAGAGAGCAGAGGATAGCTCCAGAAGAACCGCCTCGTTTGGTTCCTTGATGGCGATCTCGGCGAGGTTGGCAGAAAAGTCCCCACCAAGGCGGTCTGACGAAGATAATTTATCTATCATGGTAGCATATAAAACACGTTGATCCGCAGCGGTGACCTTTCCCGCCTTCACCGGGCTCACCAATTCGTCCGTGATTTTGCTGATGGCTTGTTCATCACCCTCAAGGGATTTGTCCATGCCGGCTGCGAACGCGAGGACAGCGCCATTACGAATTTTGACGTTACTAGACTTGATCGAAGACAATAGTGGTTTTAATAACTTGTCGGCCATTGCCCTGGATAAATCGATCGTCGGGGATAGCGACTTGAAGAGTGAGGTGATCAGACCATTCAACACAACCTCAGGGGACCGCAAAAGGGCTTTATCCAATGCAGGCACCAGCTCGGCATTAAACTCCTCTAGGGTGGTGAATTCTGAGAAAAAACCATGAAGCGACTCGGATATATACTGGGGAATAGGAGTCCTTGACATTATAAGTTCTCTAGTGTAAAACTCGTAGATTCCCATCTTTAAGCCCTGCAATACCTCCTTTTGCTTTGGCACCCTCGCGCATACCCCGCTGATGACACCTAGTAAAAGCGCATTCTTTTGCATCGATGTGGAACCCTTCGCCGTGAGACCTTCAACCATCGCCCTGATAATAGCCTCGTACTCATTCCTTGTCGAGAGAGCTGCCCGCAGGCCACGTCTAGCAACGGTGAGTGCAGATTTCTTGAGACTGCCCTTCGCGTGTGGCGACCCTAGGCACAATTCTAGCAAAGATACCTGCGCAACCAGTAGATCTTTGATATGAGCGCTGAAGAGCTCCAGCGACTTTGACACCTGGGACATGATAACGGAGACCCACTCGAGTAAGACGAAAGCGCTGGAAGGTGCAATTCCACTTTTCTGTGATTCGTTCTTGGTGGCAACGACGAGATATCTAATATACGCACTGGAAAGCGCCTCAGACTCAAACATCTGAAGAAAGCACTTCCGAACAGCATCCCGAGAGTCCCGATCGTGGTAGTATGGATGCGTTTTGAAGAGAAGCTGAATGACAAGCGGGAACTCTTCCGGTGGAAGCTCTGCTCGGGGCCCGTCAATTTCTGTATTTCCAAGCATGGGGTCCCCAGGGGTAAATTGGAATCGAGATCTTACCACCCCGCTGTATTCGCTCGGTCAGAGAATGCAGTTCGTAGACTCTCCTTTTGGTAGAACTGCTCATCACGGACAAAACCATAGGGTTCCCTTCACGGGATGATCTGGGATTGGCATCCGGCTCGGCCATTATCAGGAGGGTTTGCGGATTTGCCACTCTGGTGCGAAGGTTATCGATCTGGTTTGTGCTGCAAGTAAATTATATGGTGGGCTAGAGAGCAGCGGGTGGACGTGGTGCTTAGTGGGGCGGATTCCTTGGGCGGAATGTGGGGTTTATTACAGACGAGGCGAGGGAACAAATTGGTTATGATATGTATGATGCTTGCAGTTTTATGCGGGCCCTGAGACCTTTAAGCTACTTAGCAGCCCAACGCCGTACAAGTCACTCTGCGGTGCTTGGAGTATCGTACACAAGGAATAATTATCATAATATCATGACACCGGTGCAGCTATGCAATATAACCCAGAGCCCTCAATATGAGGATGTAGGTATGATACTCATAATGATCCGCAAAGCTCTGAAGGTGTCGAAGTCCACTGCACGCGCCGAACCCGCTTCCCTGAGCGGAATTCCGGGTAACTTTGCGAGCCCCACGAATGTCCAAGGCCTGGCTGGTGCTCGAGTAGACTAGCCATTGATCGGATGGGATGAGTTGAAACGGAGTCCACAACGCTCTCATTTCGTAGACTATCATCTCCACCCTCCGAGCACTGAAACTATTCTCGCCAATTCTTTGTACAAACTCTTGTAAGTCAAATCCCAAGATTTCCCACTTTACCTGAGGCAATTTTCATAATTACCACCGGCAAGCATCGTATCATCCATCCTGTGACTGTTTCTACCGCTTTGCGTAGATTAAGTTTATAGTGTTCAAATCTAATCTAATCTCCAATCAGACCAGATGATTACAAATCTGGGAGTCCTAACCCGAAGAGTCAGCACCGTGATTTATGGTGAGGTCACCGTGAAACGCGTTACCCAGCTTCGAGTCCCCAGCCGCCGCTCGGTCGCGTCCCACCAGATCCACATCTCCAGCTACCAAGCCGCTCCCAGAACCCGTATCCAGGACCAGCTCTACGAAGATTTCTGTGAAGACTACGAAATCGATCAAGGTTACGACATGCCTCCGAAGAGTAAGAAGCGTCAGGCGGAAAAGTACAAAAATGATGACGGATCCGTCGAGGATGCTGCACCGTTAAGCAAACGTTCTAGAGTTGAGATTGGGAAGAAGGCTGTCGATAATGAGGGAAACCCCTATTGGGAGGCGAGCATTCATTTTTAGGCCTTGATGGCTTTGCTCCAAGCTTACATGCCTTAGATCGGAGGCCGCCTTCGTCGTGTTGGTGTGAGCAAATTTGGTGGCAAGAACTTGATAAACATTCGCGAGTATTTCGAAAAGGATGGAAAGGTTCTTCCGGGAAAAAAGGTAACGTTCATTATGTTTTATTCACTTTCACTTTTGATATTCATCTGACGCCAACATATTATTAGGGCATCTCTCTTTCCATTGAACAATTCGACGCCTTTTTATCCGTCCTTCCACAGATTGAGCAGCACCTTGTAGATTTGGGGGTTGTAGTCCAGAGACCAAATTTTGGTGGGTCGGCCGCTGTAGAGCAGGAGGACGAAGGCGGGGCCAAGGAGGAAGAGAAACAGGAAGAGGAGGAGGAAATTGAAGAACCGAAACCAAAGGAAAGTTCTAAAAGAGGCAGAAAGTGAACATGATCCACGGCGGATCATGGTTTACCCCGGGAAAATATCAAATCTTTTTGTGCCCATACAACCCATCTGTATGGCTGATTAGAAACTCAATGCTTGTATCATATTATGCACTAGCCCCAAATCCACTTCACTTCATCCTATCGCATTGATAGCTTTCAATGCTACAAGTGCTCCCACTTCGTGACCATCACTCTCCCCCTTTCCCCATCAATCCAAAACATGTCCCATCCCCCCAGGACCCTATCTCCCAAACCTTATCCCCGTGTAGTTCGATCGTGCTATTTACTAACACGCAATAGCAAGCTCTACGATAATATACCAGTGTTGCGGGGCTTGGCTCTCCCAATAGCCTCCTAGGTTCTAAGGTGAACAACTATAGGGACTCGAAATTATGATCTCTTGGCTGTCCCTGGGTCTGCGGACCCCATGAGAATGATGCCGCTCATATCGTAATACGGAACACAGAGCCTGTATGGCTTGTCCAATGCGCTTCCGCTGTCGCCAATAAGCCTTCCGCACTACTGGACCGGTACGATACTTGAGTAGCCTCTATTCGTTCTACAGTAAGTACTGTCCGCGCAAACCTTCCTTCGGACCCATCCTGAGCGAGGTAAATTATTCATGTAATGTCAAGCGCGACACCAGGAACTTGGCTCATCGCGGATACTTGTAAGGAAGCGCTGCACACAAGCGCTTCTGTCATCCACGGGCGAGCGGTATGGTAGAGCGGAATGCCTGTCAAGCTCCGATTTGTAGGGCGTGCTGAACTGCACTTTATAACACAAATGGGAAGCAAAGTGGCACATTCAGCTTCCTAGTGCTCGAGCACCGAGTTTGCGGCGACAGGAACGCTTCTTAGGCATTGCGCTTGGGTGCGTTCGTAAGATTTAATAGGCTGTTTCTGCTGATACCGTACTGTGAATCCACCCGAATGGAGGGAGGTGTTATACCCGCATTTTACGGTTCTCTGGACACACCCTTGTACCGGCACCGTACACGGTCAGTGAAGGGAGGAAACCCCGCGATTGGGAATCACACTCATCACTCGGGTGGGTGAGCCCATGTACACATTTTATTCAGGTTTATAGCTAACTTAACCACCGGACCGGAACAGTGGGGCGAGCAGGATCACGGAGGGACAGGCACGAAAAGCGTGGGTCAAGCTAAAGTATTAGGACAAATCGTGTACGTACAGTACTGTACTTTACCAGTTTGCTCACGACCTGGGATCTGGAATCGGAGTGTTCTAGTAGTGTTGCTATTATGGCGACGCACTTCTCAGAGGATGATAAATGGATAAATAGAAAGGATATAACTTAGGTGGCATAGCCGTAGATCTATATGGCTTAATACCGCAAGCCTTCCGTTTAACCAACCCCGCTGCAGGGCCGCTGCAGGGCTTGTAGCCGTCTACCCGCACTCCCAAGAACTGAAAGCGGGGGTGGGATCCATTGGAACTCAGCACGTACGGTATGTGAATTTGGAGTATCATACAAGTACTGTACGGTACTGTGCTCGAGTAAAGCCGGATGAGGAGCGTCCAATGAAAGGAGGATAGAGACCTCTCACCTCCACCGACACTTTAGCTCTCTCAAGCTCGATAAAAAGGAACTGAGTAATAACAACTCCCGCTCTTACTTGCATACCGGTAATCTCTGATGTCCCCATCACTCCATCCACCCATATGGTAGTGCTGTGCCTGCGCAGGATCTGAGGCTCTCCCGGTCTAAAATAACGCTGGAATATGATCTGACATCCGCGGAGCATCAGCACTTGCTCCTCCACAGTGAGACCTGAGGTCGAGCGCTTTGCTCGGTTTGCCCAGCCTCTATAGGTGGGGTTGCTGGTGGGATATATTCAACGGTGTTCACCGGAGAGCGGGCTTGGTAGTGGTGTACGAGTATATTGGTGGGTTACTTGGATCATGCACGTGATTTCTTGGTGTGGCTAAGTTATCACAGGAATAACTTTCTGGTGATGCGGGGTGCAGAGAGGATTTTTTCCGTGAACTATTGTAAGATTTGAGGAAATTATGTTCTACGGGATTTTGTCTGTAGGTTTGTCACTGGGGGCTTTCTTTGTTTGTTTGCTGAGGTGAGCGGGGGACGTGTTTGTGCTATCATACCATTGCATTTGGAAGGCTTGCGTTTATTACTACCGTACTACTACTACTCCTGATTCCAACCAATACCGGTAGCCTTCCATCCTAGTAGGGTGGAGAGGATCTTATTCCTTCGTTAGGAGAAAGTTATCATCATCAAACGATACCGTGTTCACATCCCCCCCCTCTCTCGCTTGCGGATGCATACAGACATAAAAAAACTATTTATGGTCGACTTATACCTCCCAGACCAGGTGTGTTGGGGGCGTAGCAACCATGGAGTAACTTAGCGGCTAAGACGGCGCCCTCATGCATCAAAGAACCTCTTCGAGCATCCCACCGGTATCAGAGGGAAGTGTAGTACAAAGCTTAAATTCTCCACTCACCCTTTTCAAGCAGGAGCTGAACGACTGTACGGTACGATACGGTGCCGGTACCATACTCGAGCTGGATGAGACATCATGATACCCGAAGAAGTTGGGAAGAGTCTCTCTATTGTGCAACAACGAACTTGTCGAGTGGGATAACAAAGTTACACCCGGCACGGTACAAGTACTCGTACATATACGATAAGCAAGTAGGGTTCTTTTTTCGGGACTATGCCTTTAAAACACTCTGGGCTAATATGATAAGTGCTTTCACCGGTACGACCCTCCCCCCCCCCCCCTCCTACCCCTGGGGCTTGTGCCTATCTGATATCTGTAGGTCCGCTGAACGAGCACTGGATAGCACCGCTCAGGAGGAGTAGCATGGGGAAGGTAGAAAAACGAAAAGAAAAAAAAAGGAAAAGGAGGGGTCCGTAATTTTCACACCGATGACAACAGCTAATACCGTATTTACCAGCCCAACAGCAGAACCACTCGTACTAGTACATTCCGAACGAAGCGTTACCGGGTTTGTATGCGGTGTGTGTAGGTATGTGGGGGGAGAGGGGGTGAGCACAGTAAAGCTGTGGCACGGAACTTTTATTATATCTAAACTAGGGTCCGCCCATTCGCGTGCTCGGTGGTGAGAAGGAGAGGGCGTGAGAGAGAAAAAAAAGAAGCCAAGTCTAGTCGAACGAACAAGAGGAGAGAGAGGAAAGGAGGAAAGGATACAAAAGCACGACGTTTACATATCTGCGTACGGAAGTCCTCTTCGCTACGACGGGTTATATGTTGAGAAGAAAACTGAGGCGCGGGACAGAGAATCACATCCACCATGATGAGGTGGAGCAACAGCTGCAAAAGCGTGCTCCCCCGCTTCCTGCTCTTGCTGGGGAGTGCGCTACAGATTTCCCCCGCCAGTCCTACTGCGGTGGTAGGATCAGATCTTCGACCCAGAGGAGCGAGCCCGCAGGGATGGATCCCTCCACAGACGGTGACTATTACTGAGACGACCCGCTATACTTTGACTGTCCTGACGACTCTGACCGTCAACCCGGGAATATCGACTGCCGTGGTGACAAGCAGGAACACCTCCGCTACCAGGTCCACAACAACCCAGACTTCCATTTTCACATCCACTACTACAACAACCGTTACACCGACCCCGACCCGGGCTCCCAAAATCCGCCGTCAGGTCTCGCAACGACCCAGCACCGTGACTGTAACAACTACAGTATGGGCTTTCCCAGACGTAACAATAACCTCTACAATCAGCTTCACCGCCCCAGCAAGTCTCTTGACCACAATGACTAGTATGTCAATGACTGTGGCTACGGATATTGTCACGGAGAGCACGACAACGACTAGTATTGTTACTGTTACCGCCACGGCAGGTATCACGAGAGCGACTGGGCAAGGGGCGGTGGGGGGTGGGAGGCAGGGTCCGCGTGTAGAGGTTATTGTGGGAGCTACGTTTGCGGCATCGACAGTTGTCGCGCTGCTGGTATTTTTGTACGTGAGGTTTGTTAGGGGGAAGGATGATAGGGAAGTTGCTATTGGGGAAGCGGGAGCAGCGGGAGCAGCTAGTGCAAATAAGAGGGGATACACACCGTATGTGACGAGGCCCATGAGTGGTAATTCCCCTCCACCTCTATCCATTCCATCGTCATACTCAGCTGCACGGGTATAAAGTGTTAACAAACCAAACCCACTAGCAATAAAATCCCTCCTCCATCCCCGCAAACCACCCTACAACCCGGTCCCAGCGGGCGACGCAAGTCTGCTCAACCCGCCTTACAACCCGGCAAACACCTCCCTATCCGCACTAACTACCTTTCCCCGCTCCTACCCCCACCAATCGCAGCCCCACCAAAACCGCCACTTCCGCACCTCCTACTCCCCCCCACTAGCGCCCACCTTCCCTACCTCCGCCGCACCCTCAACCTACCTCCCTGTATCCTCGACCCCGCCCCGCCTCCCGCAAATTTATGTGACCCGCACAGATTCTGCTTCGACCATAAGCTCGTTTAGCAGCTCTAGCCACTCCGACCCGCCCGTACCCATACACCCTCTCAGCGCTGCCGGGGCAAGGTTGCCGCCGGCGCGGGAGGTGCAGTTCCACGCGCTCACGACGGCTGGCGAGGAGCGCAGGGTGGGCATGCCGCCGCAGGAGGAGCCAGTGGAGCTCGAGCCGTCATGGCATAGTTTGAGTAGGGGCGGGAGTGGGAGTAGTGGTGGTGGGATTAGCGTCAGGAGGAAGCCATTGCCTTGGGGGTCTACGTTCCCTATATGATAGATGGGGGTTTGGCGTTCTTGTAATGATTCTTGCCCGGCGTTGCGCTTGTTGACTCCATCTCTTTGATAGAGTTTCCGGGAACCTCCTTTTTTATATTTTTTATCCTAATCTCTTGTTGGGATATCTGCCACTCCGCCGATTTTAATGTTTGGGGCGTGCTCTCCTTTTCTTCCAACTCGAGTGTATATTTCACCCTATTATGGTCGGGGTTAGGTATGGTATGTGGGTACATTTCTACGGGTAAACCACTCTGTTTATATAGCCTCTGGTATTCATATCACGTCATGGGAAAGGCCACTTCTGATTTGTGCAAACATGAAAATATCATAACCTAGAAAAATCACAAAAGCTCACTCGCTAACAACACGTTCCGCGAAGTCACGTGCGCACACGCGTTGGATTTTGCACCCGCGCGCATGACCCAAGCTCCCGGGTGACAAATTTATTGATTCATTGGATCAAGGCATCCACCCATGCATTCAAGTGAAAATGTTGCTGATAGGAGCCCAGTGCAGTGTAATGAATGCAGGGGAAAAAACAGCAAAAACGATTTGGGTTTAAAAAGAGTCATTACACATCCATCAAACCGCCGAAGATATCGTTTTAAGGAGCTAAAAAGGGTTTGACCTAACGAGAGTAAGAAAAGGGAAAAAAAGAAACGTCAAAGGAATAGAGGGAGGCAGAGGGAGCGGGTGGAGGGGATGAGAGAATAAAACCAGCTCAGCAGCAAAAACATATACACAGATCGATCGTTACCCAAGACAAGCCATCTAGAACGCAATTTAAAAGAGGAGAGAGAGAAACACGAAACAAAAGGGCCAAGTTCCAAAATGGGCATCAACAACCTATTCAACATCCTTTCTCTCGAACAATACATTCTCGGCTGGAAGCATGGATGCCTGTTCCTCCTTGGTTCTATTAAACCATGTCATCCTGTTGTAACACGGGGCAGGTCAGTACAGGTCGGGGGTTGAGTGATATAAGAATGCGTGACTAACCAGCTGCCCCTCTTACTTTGTCTTTTCTCAAGCTTCACCTTTGTATCCTCGATATCATCCTTATAATCACCAGAGATCTTTCTCGAGCCTCCTTGGAGCGGTGGACTAACGAGGCCATTACTCACATTCTCCTGAACCAATCTCAAAGGCCGGAGCTTATTACCAGCAATGGGTCCCACAGCCGCGGTATGCGTGGGTGAGGGTGCCGGGCGAGGCGGAAGATCACCGACGTCAGAGGTTGTAGAGTCAAGGCTGATATCCGAATTTCTTGGACGATTTCCCTTATTAAACTGCTCGTTCCCGTAAAATGTCTGAGACCGTGGCGTAATTATTCCTTCACCGCGATAAAGATTGTTGACTACACTGGCGCCGGTGTAGACTGTATTAGCATCAGATTGCGACCGTTTGTGCGCACCAACCGGAGGGGCGCGCATAGATTGTGATCTGGTCAGCACTGCCCCACCTTCAGTTGGCTGTTTGGGGGGTTTCGCGTTATTTCGGTTGGCCAACGATTTTGTCCTCTGAAGGATTTTTCCGTGGCCCGGCTCTTCCTCAGCTGGCGGGGGAGGCAACGCCTTGTCAGTGCCAGTTGGGGCGACCACAGAAGCGCCGAGCGAGGCTGTTTTATCAAGGATAGCTTCAGAATCTTTATGCTGCAAAATCCGCTCGATGATGTTATTGATATAGAGGGACATTGCTTTATTCTGCTCCTTCAACGCCTTCAACTCACTCTCGGCCTTGCGGTATTTCTCAGTTTCGCTATGGGTAGCCTCTTCAAGCTCTTCCGCCAGGTTGGATCCAAGAGAGATCGAATTCCGGGGCGAGCCTTGCACCTTTTTGACCACATGTGACTCTTGTTCGGGTTCAACCTCCGAGAATGCGTCGTTGTAATCGCCACGCGGGAAGTCCCCATTGAGGGCCGCAGACGAAAGGAGAAGTTGGAAACTCTCATTATCCTCCATCAAACGTGCGTTTGTCATCCGGGTTTCAAGGAGCTGCTGCTCCAATTGGTGCAGCTTGGTGCCTCCTTGATGGTCAGCTTCGGCGAGCCGGATCTGCGCCTCAGCGAGCTCCAAGCGAAGCGACTCAATGAGTTTGTCCTTCTGGAGAAGGATATTGTTGCTGCGATTAGGAGTCGGAGCATTGTTGGATGGTGCAAATCCAAGAGATTCGTCCACAGGGGTCTCGAGCGCTGCAAATGGGGAAGAGGGAATTAGTTTTGGATCCCTGTAGATAATATTCAAATAAAACATACAGTTACGACTGTCATGGTCAACTGATTTCTCGCGCTGAGCAAGAGAATCCTTAAGCCGTTGGACAATAGCATTAAGTTCTTCCTCTCTATCTAGCATCTCCTCTTTTTCTTGCTGGGCAGCGATTCTCTGGTGGGAAAGTGCCATAATCAGATCAAGCCAATGGTATCACAATGAAAGCGCATGCTTACCTCCGCCTCATATATGTTCTCCCGATCCCTTTTTGCCCTCGTCAACTCCTTAATTTGGATTTCAAAGTTTTCAATGACTTCATCCCTAGCGTGAGATACTTCCTCCATCTTCATTTGCTCACCCAAAGCCTCCTCGAGCCTTATTTGCAAGGCCTTGACCTGCTTAGCGTACTCCTCAGCAGCAGCTTCAGCTGCGGACTCGCTCTGGGCCAATCTGCTACGTAGATCTTCCAGAATTGCTGCACTCTCAAGGTCTGCATCGGAAGAGTTGGATGAAGGGCGCTTGGCGGCAGCACGGGCACTGAGTGGGGATGAGATGCTGTTTCTGCTGGGGTTACGGCGTGCGACACCACTGGGCGGACCAACGGCCGGCCCACTGGAGTTTGGGGTCGGAGAGCGAGCGGGTCCCCGAGAGGCGGGGGGGGCCGTGGGAGGCATGGAGCGTCGGTTCTGTAGACTTGAAACGTTGTTTCCCGCGGGAGGTTTGCGCGTCGAAGTCATCAATGGGTGAGTTTACCAGGAGCAGAATTTATCGGGCGCTAAAATTATCGGCGGTACAGTCAGGCGATAACAGGATCCCGGTTTCGGTACGGAGACGAAATATGTACCCGGAATGTTTTCGTGCACGGCGGAAAGGGGGCGGGAGTGGCCAAGGAGTCGAGTGAACGATGGAGGAGCGGGAAAGCGAGAGGGAGACCCAATACACAAATCGCCGACCAAAATAGGAATGCAGCACGGAGTACGAATGGACTATTCTATAGGCTAGAGAGAAAGAAGATGAGGGTAGGGTGATATTATTTGAGCCGTTGATGTTGATTAGGCTGATGACGAATGGGAGATTATGGGAAGGTCGTTAAAATGGAATGAGGGAGAAGGGGAAGAAGGGCGCGGGAGTAGATGTAAGATGGAGAAGAGAAGAGAGGGGGATAGGATTTAACTGTTATCCTGTCGGGAATAGAGGGTTGTTAACGGTGAGTGGGATGGGGGGGACGAGGTACTGTACAGTACTGGTGGAGGAGGGAAAGGGAGAAGAGAAAGGAAGGGCAAGCATGGGAGGGCGAGGGAGGTGCTGGAGTTCTGACCAGATGCCGGTTGGAGAAAGAGGGAGAGATCATTGTTGCTGTCCGTTGCTAGCAGCGACGCAGCCGTACAGTACGCCGAGCGGGCGAGCAACGTTTCACCAGGCAGGAGAGCCCTTGATATCATAATAAGATTGGAAATATCACTTTAACGTGCACCCGCGGTAACCCCAGCTCTCCTGCCTCTCCTCTGCGTTCCCCAACACCCCCTGAGAGGTCTCGGATTCGTGCTGTCCGACAGGGCTAGAGTGCCTTAAACGATTGTATGATATCTTGTTCGCACGCTTTGTTTTCCCTTTTTATCGCCAGCGCACCACTTGTGACATACTGGGAGCGATATAGGTATGACACCATCGGTCATGTCTAATCTAATGACTTTCCACTTTGACGGACTACAACCTCATGAAACTTCCGAGTGGACCAAAAACCAAGCATCCGGCATCGTGTTAGCGACTTCAACAACTTTTACCCAATTTCCCACTCACGACCACTCCCGTAGCCGATTACTCCAATCATATCCTCTCCGCCTCTCCCCCCACCTCTCTTCTTGGCCTGTTTCCCCTTCCGTTCACTCGTTGTCTCGGTTCACTAGGGACAGAACAACACTCCGAGCAGGTCTTTGTGGGAGTCTAAACGGCGGAACAACAGTACTGCACTACATTTGAAAAATATACTGTATGTTGGGCCTTATGGCGGGCGAGCGATGATAGCTGGCTGAGCTTAACTTGTATAGGCACCTGCTTCCACATCCATGGTGACAGGACGATCGGCGCCATTACGGTGAACCCACAGCTCACATAACTTGAGAGCTGCACTCTAACCCGAGGCTCGGAGATGCCGCGTTCTCGAAACTCATCATACCACCGAGATGGCTTCTCTCGACCGGACAAGATATGAGCTCATCAACCGGCTCTTGCCCTTCAAATGTGGATTTTCTACCGATATCATGTGGATGTACCAAAGATTAGGGATGGACGGGAGGGTCTGGGTGTGCCAGATCCTGTGGTACCGGTACATTACGCCCTTACTCCACCACCAGTGTCTTTGGAGCCGGTTGCGATGCTTAACTGGAGCGAGAGATGACCAGAAGTTCAGCAGCCAGTAGCATCAGTGATGTCCCGAGCACACTATGGCGTAGGTAAGCATGATGGAGATGGTTCGGAGAACTGAGTGATTGGTGTATGGAGACGTTATATGAGCGCTTCCAATATCCCACTGTCGACACAGCAACCCCATTCGGTCCTCTTTCCATTATGTGTAATTATTTCTTATCTGGGGCCAGCTTGTGCGGCGCTCGAGCAGAGTGCCTAGCATCTCCGATGCCCCATTGTAGACTACCGTACCGGTACTCGAATAGTGCTCGAGTACGGTACAAGACCCGATCACTGGTATTCTTGGTCTTCTGGGAGGTCTGGCAATCTCGCCGCCCCCTATTCGACAACCCTACCGTATGTACAGTACTGTACCGTGCACCCACAATCGGATCCCCGATGATCCGAGCCCTCTTGGCGAATCACTATCACAAAAGATCACTCGAAGAATCGTTCGGTTAGGATGAATCAACGCTTGATCCAACTTGCGCTACCGTGCTGTGCAGTATCGTAGCAAGATGGGGGCAATCCCAAACCAATCAACCTTCCTTACCAAAGGGGCAAAAAAAAAAAAATACATGGTGGTTTGCAAAACCCCGACTCCGCCAGCCTACCACCAATCATAATTCCTCGAGCTGATGACCCCCCTCCTACAATTCGATGAGATGAGATTGAAACATGCGGGGAAAACTTTACGAGTGGATCAACCATATACAGTATGGGAGGCCGGGTGATCTGGTGCTCATATACTCGGGCAGGTGGAGCAATCTTGTGGGATGGAAAGAGGGTGGGCGGGGTTTTGTCACGTGGAGCAGTTCATGATTTCTCACTCGGGTTTGCGATGGAAGAAGTGTTGTATGGAACGAGTATGTTGGTATCATTCTTGTATACGGTATGTGATGGTTGGAATTGGTATGGGAATGCTGTTGATGTGGAGGGTGGAATTTGAAGAATGTTTTAATCGGCATTCAAGGCAGGAATTGGGGAAACGGGAATGGGAATGGGAGGTTGGATTCTGGCAATCCGGAAGGCTATACTGGACTAGGAAATTTGTATTTATTGTCTGCTATGGCTGTCGCTCTAAGCTGTAGTGAATTGAGTCGATATAAGGGTTCACATTCTGGTTTTCAAGAAGGATGATGGCTGACTACGCTCCACTTGATTTGGGGGGGGGGGCTGCTACCGCAGAAACCCAGCCGCCTTCCATCCGTTAGCCATCTAAGCCAATTTGAGTGCGGACTAGGTGCCACTGTGGGCTTGTTTGGTTCATGAGTTGAGTTGGCCCGAAATGGGGAACGCAGGGGGGGCGGATTGGCTCGGGGTGATACCGTAGGCTTAGTCTACCGGTACGAGTGCGAGAAGTGTCTGGCTATTCCGCATGGCTATAACCGTGCCAAGGTTGTGACTCCGTCACAACCCCCGATTGCTCGCTTGCTCGCAACCCTGGGCACTCTCAAAGAGAACACCGATACTATGCCGGTATGGAAGTGTCTCGATTGGCTTCCGGGGATCGGGTGGTGTTTTCGACCGGGCTCCGGTTGCGGGCCTTGACTTGCTCTGGAGTTGCTCTGTGACCTCCTTGTCAACCGTACGATACTCGAGTAGAATTCGAGTAAATTTGGTGACAAATGGACTCGACCGGTGACTGTGGAGTGTGACTGGTAATGTAGGGGTACAAGTAAGTGATGATGATAATGAAGCTGGGCCCAATACGGATGGACAGGAAATAGAGTACGTTTTTTTTATTTTTATTTTAATTCATATGCTTATTGATTCTGGTTCAAAAATGGACATACACCTCGTGGTATGGCAATAGAAAAAACCTTAATTCCAACACAACAATATCAAAGAAACATAACCAATGCAGTAGCATCTTCAAAGCAAAGCAAAATAGCCCTTTGCATTGCCTATGATGACTAACAAAGTAAAGTAAAGAAATCCCTTCTATAGGTACTAGCTCCAACTGGAAGAAGACAAAAGTAAAGAAAACCTATACTATTCCCCAGCCAGGTGCCCCCAGGAACAGGGATGAATCAGGAAAATAATACAAGTAAAAAGTCTTAGGCCCCACGGGACCCTCTAATGGATGAACAGGGTGATAGAGCTGACCCTGAAGAAGAAGAAGAAGGCAAAGTAGTGTTCACTTGAATAGCAGGCATCTTGGGTAGGAAACCTGTTGCAGTAGAGAAGATGTAATTAGCCAACTGAAGAATCAAGTCAGCTGAGGACCACACAGGAGTATCAGGACCCAAGCTGTCAATGCCCTCAAGATGGGCTTTGCCCTGCCTGGCCTTAACCGAACAGAAGAGGATAGCATGCTCGAAATCTTCCTTGCCCTCTTCACAGAAAGAACAGAGTATAGGCTCGTCGCTAGAGTAACATGACCTGTGCATAGCCAGGTAGCTTTTATGTGACCGCATCTGATGGAAATGACCTACTACGAATCTTGGGAGGCCTATGAAGGCATGGGGGGTAGTTGAGGATAGAAACTGGTAGGATGTACGAGGTAGCTTGGACTTTTTCTATCCCACTAGCAGGGATCCCTTCAGTTTCAACTTTAGAGCATGGTATGAGGGAGAGCCCTGAGTTTTATAACTCTGAGGTGCAATTAAATAAGGACAAGCCAAAGGAAGGACAGCCAGCAGGAGGAATTTCATTGAATACATGACTGTATCCAACGGAAGGTATTTGTAATTAGAGGAGGGGGTGGAGGACCAGAGCATGGGTATGGCACACCCTTTGAGGCCCTTAGGAAGAGAACGATTTGAGGGAGCCCACCATCTGTCCCAGGTTGGTACCCCGGGGTGGAGGCAAGTTGTAGCAGAGTTGACAGAAGGGGGAGAGCATACCACTCTAGGAGCAGCAGCCCTTTATTTGTGCAGCAGAAACTCACTTAGCGGAGAAAAGGCAGCCTTACAGTGGAGTGCTGAAATAGGCATGGAGGAAAAGCAGTTGGTCACCCATCATAAGACCTGGTACCGAAAAGAGTCAAGCTTTCTAAGCATGGTTGTGCTGGGAATAAAACAGTCGCTCCTGAAAGTAAGGATAGGAAGCAGGAGGTCCACCACAAGCTTGCGATGGTATCATGGGGACAGACCCCCCCCAGAGCTGCTGAGGTGACGAACTAAAACAAATGAGGCTTGTGTAAGGGCTAGGCGCCGCATGAAGTGGGGAGTAGTGTCCATGGTAGGGGTAAGCCAATAGCCTAACTACTACACCTAGGACACAGGAAAAAATACCAAGGCATTAAGGCTGACAGGCAAGGAGCATACAGGATACTTGTCACTAGGCATATGCCAGTGGAGGAGCTCAGTCTTTAGAATAGAAAAGAAAACAACCAACCTCCGCTCCACTCTCAAGTACATGAAAGTAAAACTGAAGGGAGTGAACATTTACATGATAGAAAGGAGAAGTAACAGTAATGGAAAAATCATCCACATAGGAAACCATCAGGCCCCAAGGAATAACTCTGTGGAGAGAAGAAACATATATAATAAACAACAATGGAGAGATAGGTGACCCTTAAGGGGTACCAACAGAAACAGCCAAAAACAGGTTAGGAGTGCCTTGAAACATCAACCCACACTTGCGTTGAGAGAGAAAAGAGGTCACCCATGCTACCAGATATGATGGAATCCTGGCACAGTGAAGGATAGTAGTGAGTTGGTTCCTATTAATATTATTAAAGTCATCTTTGATGTCAAGAAAGAGTGAGGAAACACAAAGGCCTCTAGCCTGGAAAAGCTTGACCTCATGGGAGACAGTGGATATCACATTGGAG